ATTTACTTGTAGTTCCTTGGTCCTTTTCTTTGCTATAAATTCGGCCTTTGCTCTCTAGCCGCCTGCGAGTCAAACAGTGAAATTGTTAGTTCATATTTATAATGTGGGTATGTGGGAGGGGGGGGGGGGGTTGAACATACATTTTATATAAGGGACCTGCAACTGTAATACCACGGTACAGTAGATAGCAAATATGTAGAAAACAGAAATGCATGTTCCCATCATTGTACATGGACGGGCGCAGCAGGCCGAAGCTATCAGCCAGAACAGGATTTACAATCACTTAGAGATACTTGAGCTATTCCAGTATTCTTCGTGAGCTGTCCCATTCCACAATGGTTCATGCCACCATTATTTCTGGTAGTATCCATGTGCATAGTTCCAAGACCATCTCGGATTCTTCAGTGTGCCACGGCAAAAGACAATGCTTGACTCGGTCACTGGGGCAGTCAAACTTCCCATCACAAATGAACTTCAATTTCTCATCTGTTTCAAGTATATGTACTGCCATGACTTGACCATGCTTCATCCACAGCTGGGCGAAGATTGTGGCGTGGAATTCCACAGCGCACCTTCTTGCTGCCATGCAGGAGTATGTTGAGAGAAGTGAACATATTTTTACTAAAAAACAACAGCCACTGAAGAGGATAGCAATAGCCTTGGGTGAATTTCCTGCAGGTACACGTTGTTGGTAGGTCTACTGGTCGGTCTCCATATCGTCAAGTTCAGAAATCACCTGTACTATACACATCTTGTAGAAGGGATCCTGATCGAATAATTTTCTGGTCATAAAATTCACTAAACTGAGGGCGAGACTAATAGTCAGTACTCCCCGATTCCTTCAAGCTGCTTTGAAGTCTGGATGCACATGTGATGGTAACAAGCTCCCCGTTGTTACTTCCAGCAGCTTCACTTTCCCTGCGACAGCGGCTATCAACCTCTCTCTGCATCGTCGACAATTATCACAGATTCAACATTCTACATTTATCAGCACTGCACTGGGTGAATATGTCTCGAAACGAATTTAGCGGATCAACAACGCTTCGCTGGAGATAAATTCTCCTCTGGAGGACCTTCAGGGTACCTGGAAGGGTATAGAAGACGGGATCGCTCACGACGTTGAGAGAACATAGAAAACAACCTCCTCTTCGATTGAAAATTGGCCAAAAAGTATGTGAAATGTATGTGCGCAGATGCATTTCCACTGGCAAGCTAATCCCTCATTACGTCATCAGCGCTCGCTCGGCGAAATTCAAAAGTCGTCTTCCTGCTCGACTCGATCGCTTCTGGAGACTCGTTCTTGTTCGAGGGGTCTTCTCTTTCACCTACCTTCGTCTTGGCATCGAAAACTCGGCGTCGAAAATGAAGCCGGAGTGCCCCTTTAAATCCCATATTACCGAGCATTATCCGCCAACACCCAGTCTGAACTTTGGGGTACAGCGTGGCGTGAGATGGGGAGGAAGCAAGGACAGTGGTATCACCCGCAAAATAATAAAGAAATATTAATTAATATATTGGGAATTGCATAGGGGAGACCAATAATGTATGTGAAGAAGAGCAGGAGACCTAAAATGGAGCCCTGGGGCACTCCGGACACCACAGACTCGGGGTCAAAAAAAAGTTCCATTCCCTGTGACGCGCTGATTTTGGTCGAACGGATGACTAATTATCCAGGCGAGTAGGAACTACAATTATAGGGAGCCGGAGACACCGTGAGCACGAAGTTTGGTGATGAGGCCCTTGTGCCCCACGGTGTCAACGGCCTTGGAGAGGCCAAAGAAACAGATGCAGGGAACCCGCCGCTGGTCTTTCAGAGGGCAGAGGTCTTGAATTTTGCGGGACAATTGCAGGGATGTGTTGTCCTTACGACGGAAGCCAGATTGTGATATGAGCGCGTGAAAAAGAGGGGAGATATGGTCATACAATTGGTCGCATACTATTCTCTCTGGCAGTTTGGAGATACAGGACAGGAGGGAGATTCAAGGGTTGGTAATTAGAGAGGTTAAGAATTTAAGATGCACGTTATTTCCGACTTGACGGGCAATTTCATGTCAAATTTGGCGTAAACCTCCAAATTTCGACTTGAGCTGCAGGTCACTCGCATTGTTTTTCGAGATATGTGTGAGCCAAATAACGCGAGCGGAACTTTCGCGTCACGTCAGAAATAACGTGCATTAACCTCTCTATTAGACCAAGAGTACATAACCCCCATAAGTTATGTACTCTTGATTAGACGGGTTGTTCTTTTCGCCTTTTTCTAATATTCTTGTACTTGTACAGCTGTACACTGGAATGACAGAGGCTGACTTCCATCGCGACAGGAATGTGCCAGAACGGAAGTAAAAACCATCTCTGAAACTGAATTGGAAATTTCATCAGCTGAGGGCTGAGGTCAAGCGCCGTGAAGCAGGTCGACTGAAGTCTAGAAAAGTCAGAGTGGCAGGATTATACAGTCATCATCGTCATCTGCGTTGCCGAAATTTTTTTTTTTAATTTTTACTATTATTTAATAATAGTAAAAATTTAAAAATAATAATAATAAACGGCATTATGCAGCTGTGTAAGCAGTAGATGCACAGTGTGACTGCCAGGCATCTCTGTCAGATGCCAACTGGCAATTCTCATGCAGAGACATACCAGTCCACGAAACGATATTGTCAGCAAAGGAAATCTTCGGACGACCACGCTTTCTCTTGCCATCCACGACACCAAACATCACGTCACGTACAAGCTCGCAGCCAGATGGGCGGCATGTGTGCCCGAAGTAGGTCAGTTTGCGTATCTTGACTCTGGCTAGCAGCTGTCTCTGTACTCCCAACTCCACCATTTTGTACAGTACCGGTACTTAAATTATTAATTTTATCATCAAGAATGACACTTCCAAAGTACGAGTCGTACACGATGAGAACACCAAGGTCAAGAAGGGAGAGCACAACGCTCTCCGTCGGTACTTCCTCAGCACCAGGGAGCCGACTCCCTGCTCCGGACCCGCCAGGCTCCAGCTCTTCGTAGTCTTTTGTGCAGTGTCACTGCAGTGTGTGGTTGGAAGGAGTGGAAGGAACTTTGTGTCCTGTTTGATACACAGAAGGAAGTTCAGAAAATAATACAAGATCTCTCGCGGAATAATATTCGCGGGATCCGCGTTAGCATCACTTGAATGTTCAGAAACACACAAGCTATAGCCTTCGCTTCCGCAGGCCACCACTATGCCTTTACACCTTAGTGGCGAATGCAGACCTCACAAGTGAGTCAGGGGAGAGGAGGTGAGTCTCTCAACCAATCGGGCCCATAACCCTGTAAACTCGGAAGAAGTTGAAAAGGTGACAGCTCTGCTGTTAAATTAACGCTTCGAGGCTGCAGCTACAAATTGTACATGTTTTCAAATACTTCAAAAACAAAACAAACAAAAACATGTATACACGGGAGTCTCTGCATATATATTTTTTTTTTTTTTTTTTAGTCTGCATATATGGCGTTCTCTTTCTGTACGACGTACCCATTTGCGTTCGAGTGTTCACAAACTACACGTGCACCGTACGTTGGTTTAAAGGGGTCATTTTGACTACCGGTACATTTTGACAGCATTTTTGAGTTTATCGGCAAGGTACTGCTAGGTACTAGGTGGAGATGAACATTTGAAAATGTTTTTCGGTGAATCTCTAGCTCTGGAGACTTTAGAAGCTTCCTATTTTTATTTTTACTTTTGGACAAAATATGAAAACGTTTTGTCAACTTTTGTGGAAGGGCGGTGGAAAAATTAAGCTCTCACAGAACATGACGAAGAAAGAAAAGAAATAGTTATCTAGTACATGAGAGTGTGAAGCATGCCAAAAATTGATAAGATAGAGCGAGAGAATAGCTCGAGTAGCTCGATCGACCAGCACACGGGCTTGACTTCGCTTTTGACGACGAATGTAGGAGTGGAGGTCGAGTTCGGCGATTTGATGCAGTGGCCATACCTTGAGAAACTAAAGCCACATACAGCGTGTAAATAACGACCGTGGATAACGACCTACTTCTTGCGTTGAAAACTCATCATCCAATCCACAATGGGAATTAACCGTATTGGGTGACCGATGCATGGTTTCAGTCAGGGAGTCGTATTTTACGACTCCCTGGTTTCAGTGTCCTTATCTTCCTTTCCTCTTCCATGTGGACTCCTACTATTATCTCTTCTCTCTTGCTCCTATCTTGCCAATTTACTGGTGTGGTATGGGGCTTTGAATAAATCATGGTCGTCGAGGATGCGCAAACCAACAGCCTTCCAACCTGGCCTGGTACCATGATGGTGCAGACCAGCTTCTGCACCGCGACAATGCAGCTTTCTTTGCATTGTCCCGGTAATACGTACTTTCACCAGGCATGTCGTACCAACGTACACACTTTCCAGCTTCCTAGCGCGGGCGCGGGCCTGCTTTCACTACTTGTTGCATGTAAAAACTAATGCAGTCGAATGCAGGCTAGGCTTGGCGTAAATGTTGCGTTTTTTAACTTTTTATGTGATTTAAAAACAATTTAATGGATGGTCTTTGTTGCGTTTTGTGGTCGACCAGTCACACCATTATTACGACAAGACTGGTGGCATGACGACATTTCGCCGCTCCTTTGCGTCGTCCGTGCGTGAAAACTACAGTATACGCGTACGAGTACAATCGGTGAACATGGTGAAGGTGACCGGGACCGGAGGATCGAAAAAGAAAAACAATCAGTTCTGCAACCAGAGTCCACAATCTGAACTGCACAGTCTGTCTGGTCAAAGTTTCTCGTACATGCACTGCAGTGTACAACTCTCAGTTTGCTACATGTTGCAGAATGCGAGCATTGGTGGGGTCATGTCAGAGATTGATCGGTGCGGCCGCGGGTAAAAAATGGTGTGTACGAACCGTTCCTGTGCCGGATTGTATTGTACCGCTGTGCATGGTACTAGCAAAAACTGTGCGCGTTGCAGTGCGAAAGTCGCTTTGCATTTGTCCAGCAATGGGGGTGACAATGTTCAGGAATTAAGGATAAGTCGAAGAGCTCGAGCCAGAGTCGCTTACAATCAACAGGAACCTTCCGAGAAGGATATCTCCACTCATCCTCTTTCTCGTTTAGTAAAATTAACGAAAGTTAGTTTCCCCATTGCTGAGTATCGATCATTGTCTTGGCCACCCAGACGGGTACGACACTATCTTCGGAGCGTTCTGAGTGGCGAGAACTGAAATTCAAGGTGAGAACTTTTCAGTGACGCCCTGCATGTGTTCACTGGATCTTCTTTAGAGCGGCATGTACATCTGTGGAAACTCCACAGTACAGTCAACTTCGCCAATAACGACATTCGGCGGGGCATCAGAAAAGTGTCCTTATTCGCGAAGTGTCCTTATAACCGAAGTCCCATTTGAATGTATGTGAACCCATATTTTGTATAGTATGATATGCATATCAAAATCAAGCTCTTGTCTTGCTCTATGTCAATGTGTACTTTATTTTCATATTGCAGTTGCAAGGAACTAAAAATTCAATATGCAAGGAAATGAATTGAAAAATATGCCTTTTTGAGCCATCTACAGGGCCAGAGACATGTACATGTACATGTACATGTACATGTATGATGATTACTGTACAATCATGTACAACTACATGTACATTGTATACATAATATAGGTGTGCTGGTAAATCCAACAATTTTGAAGCCAACATTATAAAAGGAAAAAAAGCCCCCCCCCCCCCTTGGCTGCATTTTCTTGCATGTGTGCCTTTTATCACCATAGGTTCTGTACTTCTGCATGACAGGTACATGTACTTGACTGACAGGTACTTGAAATAGCTGTCAAAAGCCCAGAAAGTCGTTATTCAAGCAGTGAATATGACCACGGGGCACTAAAAGCATGTCGCTATACGCGAATTGTCGTTATTCAGATAGTCGTTATATCCGAAGTTAAATGTATACAGTTAGATGGGACTTTGCTCTGGGCATGGAAATTCGGTCGTTATTCGCGAATTGTCGTTATATCCGCAGTCGTTATTAGCGAAGTTGACTGTACTCCCCGATGAAGCCCCAACGCCGACTATGTTGTGCTGTGCAGCACCTTACTAACCCTTAGACAGGGGCGTCGCCCTGGCCTTAGATGATAGTATCGCCGGTGCTCATGGGATGGGGTCAACTGGGTTGTGTGTTGAACTTAAGTGGTGCGGCCTACTCAATCATGATTGTTGCTTAGGCCCTCTGCAGACTTCGGACAACAAACATCCAGTATATGATCACCTTAAACTCGATACCTTCCCCTCTTTGGAATTAACACTCATATCTATGATAGCTCTTGCACCCCACAGTTTTTAGTAAGTCATAATTATTACAAAAAAAACTTGAAAAAGACAACATTTCCCCAAGCCTGTATTCAATCCACATTTTAAATGCAACATACAGGCAACCTTTGACCTTCCGGGGTTGCCGACGTGTATGCTCGAAAGCAGGGGTCATACAACGCTGGTACATGTGTATGAATGCCTGGTGAAAGTACATTAAATGCAGCAAAGGTGTACAAGTCAAGGGTACGCACCCTGCCTGAAAGATTGGGTGGGTTTTCAGGCTTCCCCGCGGCCAGATTCTTGTACTTGTCATGGAAACTTCTCTATAAAAATTAATGTTAATGTATCTTTAAAACCATTACCCCTTCTTGGTTATAAGCTGTTTGCATCTAGTAATGTGAAGGGACTTATGATCAAGAGCTAGTATATACTGTATTGTCTCCATTACAAGCGCAGTCTCTTGTAGAAGCCCAGTCTCTACTTTAAGCGCACTCCAAGAGGGTTTCGAAAATATACAAGCGCAGTCTCCAATAATTACGGGCGCAGGGCTTATATTGGAGAACTGTGTGGATCATGTCCATGCATGGCTGACGTCCACAGTGTCACAAACACACATGTTATCTGATCCCCGAGATAAAAAATGCACAAAGAAAGTGTACCAGAAAGTGCAAAACTGCATTCGCGGTACCTGGTGGGAAATGTTGTGCTACTGGTGCTTCAAAGTATAAGAAAAAAATACTTGTACCCGATGGTTGAAAAATTACAAACGCAGTCTCTATTAGAAGCCCAGTCGCCAATATAAGCCCAGGGTCGTGATTGGTTGAAAAATATAAGCCCAGGGCTTGAAATGGAGATACTACGATACTACAGTAAAAACCTGTGACTAACGACCACCCTTTGGGGCCAGAAAAAGCGGTCTTTCGTGGCAGGTGGTCCTTAGTTAGAGGTTTGCGCCGCACAACCATGAATGTGAGACCATCCGTGCCTGGCAAAGTGGCCTGTAGTACCAGGCTGGTTGCTAGTCACGGAGGTCTTTAGTAGGAGACAAGATCTTTAAGATCGATATCAACAGCGTTTTTGTTTAGGCCGTCATCACACCACGTTCTCTGACTCACATTTACATCTAAGTCTAGGGTGTGAAAATCCGAAACGGGTGGTTGGGTCATAACACAGTCACAGGTCTTGACCAGTACACACGGTCACCGTTTGGAGAAAAAAAAATGAAAATTGAAATGCACGTACAAGGTTGCTGGGGAAAAGACTGGGAGAGATACACACGTTCACCCGGTTTAGTTCAAAATGGTTGTATACCCCCCCCCCCCCCCTCCCTACCACGTCTACGTTTCCCGTTTCCTTTGCTCGCGTTTTCACCCCGTACATGGATCATCATGGCAACCAATCAAAAACTGCTCACGTGGACGTAGACACAGCGCTTTGTGCCGTAGGGTCATGAGACAGACTTAGTAGTAAAATTAATTGAGATATACTGTAAATATACAAAATTTCGGCGCTGCAAAATTTCGGCACTTCACGATTTTTGACATTTCGGCGGCGATTTATTTTCGGCGTGGGGTAGAGGGCATGGTATTGCGACAGATGCTGTGAAAAATTTCATCGGCGTTTTAATTTAGGCGTTTTGGGTCGGTGCCGAATATAGCCGAAATTAAATAGCTGCCGAAAATTTGTATATTTACAGTACTAACTTCCTGATGAGAGTTGTACGAAAACTGATTCGAAGTACTGTCATCATAATTATCATTAATTTTCAAAATTCATTGTTCGTCACCATTTTCTTTTGAAAAGAAGGTGAGGACACAATAATCTCAGAATCGCTAGAATCGCAGTACCAGCAGAATTGACATGTCACAGAACGGTTTTATTGATATACGTACTGTTAATTGCGATTCGAAAACTACTTTCTTTATCAATTTGTTAGCTGCGTTTGTTCCAAATCAAAAAAACCCATTCCATCATGATATATTTAAAATGCAGCTGGTGCTGTAAGGAGTGAAGTAAATTATTGTGTCCATTCTCGAAGGGAACTAACGATGGCCGCTAACACCAGATAAACCCCAGCGGCAGATGCAGCGCCTGACGGTGCTGGTACTGGTTATACAGGTGGAATCCGGATAATTCGAACCTCAAAATGCCAGGAAAAAACTTCTAATTATCCAGACATTCTAATTATCCAAACATGAACCCACAACACAATATGTATGTCAAAATGCTCTCATGGTCACGCAGAGTTGCGCTATGAACCTTAGACACAGATTTCGCGGATACTGAACTGACCGGCACAGCCTGGTCATGCAAACTAAACTGACCAGTACAATGTACAGTGAACTTCGAATTACACTTTGCTAACTTCGAATTATCAGCACAAATCGCACACATTTTCTATGTAAGTGGAATCTGTGGGACTTCGAATTAACGGACAGATCCAGTTCGATGTTCTAATTATCAGAAATTATTATGTGGGACTCGTATTGATAGAAATCTGTCCTTGGAAAAACTTCGAATTAAGCGGTATGTTCGAATTAAGCCATATTCGAATTATCAGGATTCCACCTGTAGTGAAGTTTTATCATGATCATAATGTGCAAGAGAATGCTCGCTAAAAATGTATCAAGAACAGATAGCATAATTGCCACCTAATGACCTATTTTAGTATGCTTGCCGCATTATTATACCAATAATTCTCGGAATTTGTCTGCATTATTCAGGGCAGATTCATAGAGCTGGTGGAATCACGAAAAATGTGGCAAATTCTGAAAATAATCTTGCACCCCCAGCAAGAGGTGACTGCTTCAGTAGAGTCGTGCGCCGAAGATCGTGGAGCACAAGAACGTCCAGCCTAAAGAACGCCGCAGCCTAAAGCTATGAGCGGTGGGGATGGTTTTCTGGGCAGCTTAGGGGCCATCCATAAATACTAAAATATATTATTTAGAAACGAAAACTAGTCGCTTAGGGGGGGGGGGGGAGGGGGTTGAGCACCTGTTTGTTTCTCGAAAAATATCGATGCACAGTTCGTGTGTGTGGGTACGTCCAGAAAAAAAAACGAAAAAAAACATCGATACTATGCATCGCTTGTATGAGTTCGTTTCTGGGGGAGGGGGAGGGGGGTTGAAGAGAAACGACTAGTTTTCGTTTCTAAATAAATATCGGCATTTACGGATGACCCCTTATTTGGATATATGTGATACTCATTACTTGTTTCTAAACATGTGCAAGAACAACGCCGCGGCCCGATTGCTGAAAGAACAACGCCGCGGCCCGATTGCTGAAAGAACAACGCCGCGGCCCGATTGCTGAAAGAACAACGCCGCGGCCCGATTGCTGAAAAAAGAACGTCCCGGGCTAACCCCTTGGAAGCAACGTTTTTGGACGCACGACTAATCTGTACCTACCGTGTTTCCGCAAATAAAAGGCCGTCCTCGTATACAACTCCGTCCTCGTATACAACGCCGTCCTCGTTTACAACGCCGTCCTCGTATACAACGCCGTCCTCGTATACAACACCGGGGCAGGGGGCGATTGAAAAAATAAAAGACCGTCTCCGATTAGAAGACCGGGCCTACTAAATGAGTCTCAAACGTTTGTTAAAAATAGAAGACCGTGCTCAAACTGTGGGTAAAAGTAGAAGACCGTGCTCAAACTGTGTAGAAGAAAATGGAAGAATGGGGGTAAAACTGTGTGGCGAAAAATAGAAGACCGGGGTCAAACTGGGTTGAAAGAATAAAAGACCGTCCTTGAATACAAGACCGTCCCCGATTATAAGGCCGGGTTAGGACGAGGTTGAAAAAATAGTAGACCGGCCTACTATTTGTGGAAATACGGTATGTATTGGTATGAGCCCAATTTTCCTAAAACATTTCCCGGGGAAGGCCTGTTCATAGTGCATAAAATGGATTACACCAATTTTTCTTTCTGTTTCCTTTTTTGTAGATGATCATCAAATTCTGCCATCCTCTGTTGCTGGCCTCCATTGCCCTACTCTTTGCTGCCATGGAAACGCATGGCTGGGGCCAACCTCCATATATACGCGATCCAAGTAAGTTTGGGTCTGTGTGATGGTGGCAGTTAGTTAGGGCTAGTCATTGAGTATTTTCTCTGATCTTCATTTGCATGTGTGTGGGGGGGGGGGGTATGTGTGTGTGTCTGTGTGAGTGTGTGTGTGTGTCTGTGTGAGTGTGTGTGTGTGTGTGAGTTTGTGTATGCATGTGTGTGAATGTGTGCGCACATGTGTGTGAATGTGTGTGTGTGTGTCTGTGTGTGGCGGTCAATTCATCAGCCTTGCAAGCTGTTGAATGGTGTAATCCCAGCACAAGTTGCTATGTCTAACATAGCTGTTCGCTATCATCGCTTTCTGGGCATGTCTGAGGTCTGAGGTCTGTGTGTGTCTGTGTCTGTGTCTGTGTGTGTATTATGTGTGTATATTATGTGTGTATATATTATATTGTGTGTGTCTGTGGCGTGTGTGTGTGTGTGTGTCTGCACATTTTGTGTGTGTGTGTGTGTGTGTGCACGCATGCGTGCATGTGTGTGTGTGTGTGTGCGCTAATGTGTGTGTGTGTGTGGGTGGGTGGCAGCCACTTCAATCAGCGGTGTGGTGTAGATCAGGGTAAAATTAGTGGCAGTCAATTCATCAACCTTGGGAGCTGTTCAATGGTGTACAGTTAGATACATCAGCTATAGGGTTGGCGGATAATAATATACCGATTAGGGTCGTCCGTAATTATCGAAAATAAAAAAAATCCGTTCTGGTGCAACATTGTCTCTGACCCACCCACTGTGACCCACCCACCACCATTTTTACCATTCATTTTTTGATTTTCCCAATGCCCTGCGGGAAAATAAGAACACCTCACCCCTCACTGACTGCACAGTGTGTCAACTACTAGTACTACAGTCCATATATAGACGCGCAGTGTTTTTGAAATATTTCAAATTTGGCTGGAACCTTTTGAGAATAGTTTTCGGAATATTGCTCAGGTCCGCTCCACAGCTACTCTCATATAGTTTCTACACGATTGGATAGCAGGCGCCCAATTTGGAAAAAATTATGCACAAAGTGATCACAGATGTTATGTGGCATAGATGCTGGCATAACGGTTTTTGCCTAGGTACGCGTCTATAGTTTTGAAATGGACTGTAGTAGCCAAGGGGCCATCCGGCATTATCGATAATTTTCACGGAATGAAAAAGTTTAGTTATGACTAGGGGTGAAAGTTGACACTAAGATCCCGAGTTCGAGTACTCTGATTTTCTCCGATCGAATATTCGAGTATTCGAGTATTCTTGATATCCTAAAAATCGCACACCAACGGCCTTAAAAATCCACGGTACAACCCTGATTGAACCGATTGGCAGTCCTTTTCTCAGGTGTATTGGTTGGTGGGTCATTTGGGCTCTCTCTACTCGTGTACAAATGTTCACCACACAGTCTGCACATCAATATCTGCTGACTGCTGCCCTGAAACTGCATACTTCTGTGGTAAATGCATGTACCATATATGAGCGAGTACTCTGATTTATTCCGAGTACGATTATATTTGAAAACTCCAAACGAGTATTCGAATATTCGGTATAATTGTTTCACCCCTAGTTATGACCCTCCCCCACCCACCCCCTTCAACGAAAAATATAATATATTTTTCGTTGAAGGGGGTGGGTGGGGAGGGTCATAACTAAACTTTTCATTCCGTGAAAATTTTTGACTTGACAGCTAAAATTGATTGACATTTTCAGTTATCAACAATTTTCAAAACGAAACTCTCCTCAACCCACCCACCCATATCCGAAACTTTTTCTCTTCGTGAAAAAGATCGATAATTACGGACGACCCCTAAGTTCACGTAGTAGGTCTACTGGCGGCCCTGCACGGCCTATAACTACACATACATGCACATTTTTTCTTGATTTTTATTTCACGGATTCTCCAGAGGCAAATAGATGCCTATCGAAGGGAGTCTCCTAAGTAAGCATGGAAAATGAGAAAGTATGTGCGTGGGGGAGAAGAGGTAGAAGATACATTAGAATATAGAGTACAAAAAGAAGTAAATTCAGTAGATCATACTGGTGTTTGCGACAATCGATCCTGCACTGTACAACAGCACACCGTGTATACACCATACAGTCAGTGCAACAACTCCTCAACTCTATGAAAGTCACTGACGTTTTTTTTAAATAATATTATACGAGAAATCGAAAAATTAAATTCCGCCAGCGCTCTTGACCACCCACCGTCTTTATGCTTGAGGACGGATTTTTTTAATTTTTCGACAACTACGGACGACTCCTTTATAATGTTATCAGCTTCCAAATGTGCATAACCCCAGCACAAGTTGCTATGTCTAACATACACGTAGCTTGTTCGATATCATCGCTGCAGCGATGGGCAGGTGGAAGTGGAAGCGTATGTGACTGTGTGTGTGCCTCTTCGTGCATTTTTCTTCTCTTTCTTACGATTTGCCGGTGTGTCTGTATGCCCGTTTGCGAGTGCAGGATTCACAGCAAACTGCTATGGCACGGGCAACATTAGATCCACATGGTTCTTTCTGCCGGGAGCCCAGTGCCTGTGGGGCACGGCGAACGCCGACCTGAGCTGCCAGGGGTCCGCGCACACGCACACGTACAGCCAGGCGGAGCGCCTGTGCAGCTCCCGCGGATTTTCGGTGCTGGACTTGGATCTGTTCCGTTACCATGGATACAACGAGTGTGTCGACGTGATGCTGGAGAGCGCTCTGTTGTCGCTGCCGCACATTCAAAGCACAATGACTTTCTGGACCAAGGACGACGCAACGCCCGACAAGCGCACCATCCTGCAAAAGAACAAGCCGCCCCATGCGCCCACCTCGCTTCGGGAGGTGGACATTAACCCGGTCGAGGAGCATTTCGTCGTCTGCTCAGGTAGGTGAAACCAATGATGAAGGTGAAGCCGTAGGCGTACGTAAGTTGCCCGTAGCATTACCGCATTCAAGCGCCTAAAATGGCACGCACTCATATTCGAAAACAAGGGTACCTCCACATATAAAGGCATGACAAAAAAACACTAGACTCAAGAGTGTATTTTGAAGACTTGAATACTCGTATTGAAAGACATGCCCTTGTACCCGGAACATTAATTTTGTTTCCTGGCGAAATGGAAAAAAAAACGCATTATACACATATACAGTCTGTATCGGCGGGGGACTTCGGTCATTTCATTGTATCGTATTACTCTTCAGACATCAATCCTGAATGGCATAAGCGAAAGTGGCACCCCCGCCACCTACGCGGACATGCTTTTAATAATAATAATATATCGGCTATAGAGTGACCGGATATAAGAATATATCGGCTACAGTGATATTCGTACGAAATATCAAAAGCAAAACGTATTTTATCCAGTATAAATATCACTATAACCAATATTATCGGATGTAATGATATATCGGATATTATGATGGCAACATAGAATCAAAACATGCATAACACACTATATTGTTATCGGCTATAGTGATAACTTTAAAATACATGTTGCAATAATATCAAAGGCCCTATTTTTTTACTTTCTTCACGTTGCGTATTTTGATAGTGACACATGTACATGTACAAAACAGAATTTTTTATGGAAATGCGGGCACTGTCAACTATGCGGCATGCTCATTTGTCAAAACGCCATGCTGGAAGTATTTCCTTGCCTTTCATGTGTCGCTGGAAAAAAATCGATCGGATCGCATAATACTAGTGATGCATCGGTTATAGTGATAAATCACGGAAATCAAAAGGGTACGCTATAGCCGATACAGACTGTAAAGGCATGCACTTGTACGTGGGTGAGTGCGGTAGGCCTTTTGCGGACTACAGTCCATTTCAAAAATATAGATGCGTGGTTTTTTTGAAATATTTCAAATTTAGTTGGAGCTTTTTGATAATTTTTAATTTTTTTGATAATTTTTCTCGGAATATTGCTCGGGTCCTTCCCCCAATTACATAGATTAAATAAGCGATCGGATAGCAAACGCGGCCAATTTCGAAATTTGTATGCACAAAGTGATCACAGATTTTATGTGGTATAGTTGTAGATGCTGGCCTAACGGTTTTTTGAAATCACGAGTCTATTTTTTTGAAACGCACTATGGGACATCCGCTAGCCCTAGGCGGGTAATGCCGGCAGAAAAGTTGGCAGAGTTTTGGTATTTATCCCTGGTACACTAGTGCTGAATACAATTGTGCGGGGGAGATAGTTCTCTATACATCTACAGTCAACTTCGCTAATAACGACTGTGGATATAATGACAATTCGCGAGTAACGACAAAATTTCCGTCCCCAGAGCAAAGTCCCATCTAACTGTGGCACGTATAATGCGACTTCGGGTGTAAGGACGCTTCGCGAATAAGGACACATTTCTGATGCCCCGCCGAGTGTCGTTATACGCAAAGTTGTACTGTAGGTGAAGTGCTTTGTAGCCGAACTGCACTCACACCATACTGAGCTACATGTCCCTGACCGACATGCAGGCCATTACAATAATTATGGTTCCACATACTTTACGTGCGGCCCTGCAAGATAATAATGATTCGTTATAACCGAAACCTGTTCGCTGAAAAAGGCTCGATTTTGTACGGGTCCAGAGAGGGCATGAACACTCGCTTGCTATATTATAATACACTATACGAGTTCGTTATAAGTGGAGTTGATCGTACGTTGTTGCTCTAGACTTTTACGGTTAATAGGCCAGTCGCCAGGCAACACATTTTCAGCCGTGGTCTTTTGCGAGCTTTTGTCATTGGTGTTGTTATCAAGGGGATATTTTGTGCGAACGATTTTAAAACAAACTTAGATAATTCGTCTAAAAACTTTCAAGATGCACTACATGTGCAGTCATTTGCCGTTTTGGGCAGCTTAAAATCCGGAGATCGTCAAATTTTTAAATACTCTAATTTCGGATATTGTAGGTGCTCAATATGTTCGGTATGAGGGCAAACGGCCAGGTTAGGTGAACAGAAATTTCAAGTACAGAGAAGCAGTTCCCTATCGGATTATTTGTGTTAGTGTTTGTTTGGTGTATTGAAATTTTACGTGTGAAACATAATCACCGAAAGTACCGAAAATAAAATTACACCGAACATTAAATTTTGTGAAATTACAGTATGGTCTTAGAGAAGCATGTGTTCTACTCGGTGTGGATACTGGATAGAGCTATAACCAAGTCTATACAACATGTCCATGCTACCATCACTTTTGACCAATTACTCCACTCCACATGCAGATGCGTGTACACGTACCCGCACACCCGCACTCACGTACTCACGCATAAGCGTGCGCACACATATACACGCTCGCACGCACACGCACACAACCATACACACGCTCGCACGCACACACACACACACACACACACACCACACACCACACACCACACACCACACACCACACACCACACACACACACGCGCGCGCGCGCGTGCGCACGCACACACACGCACACGCACACAACCATACACACGCTCGCATGCACGCGCACACAACCATACACACGCTCGCACGCACACACACACACACGCGCGTGCGCACGCACACACACACACACGCGCGCGCGTGCGCACGCACACACACGCACACGCACACAACCATACACACGCTCGCATGCACGCGCACACAACCATACACACGCTCGCACGCACACACACACCACACACACACACACCACACACCACACACCACACACCACACACGCACACACACACACACGTGCGTGCGCACGCACGCACACGCACACGCACGCACACACACACACACACACACACACACACACACACACAAAAATACATACCCGCACACACACACACACACACACACACACACACACACGCCATCGGACCATTGGACGCCCATCGGCAGAGGCGATGATAGCGATGCTACAGCACTAGAAGCCATAGCAGCTTGTGCTGGGATTGCAAGGCTGAAGAATTTTTTTTTTTTTTATGACATTGCACATACCTACGGAAGAAGGGGAGACAAAACGAAGACGAAACAAAAAAGACAACAATGGGTGTGTAGGCGCTACATGAGCTGCGCTGGTGAGATGCAGTGGACTCCCCCGACCAAGGGTCTCGGGATCGGCGTACACAGCAAGCACCATGGGAGAGGGGGGCGAGAGGAATGGCGGAGAGAGAGAGAGAGAGAGAGAGAGAGAGAGAGAGAGAGAGAGAGAGAGAGAGAGAGAGAGAGAGAGAGAGAGAGAGAGAGAGAGAGAGAGAGAGAGAGAGAGAGAGAGAGAGAGAATTGACCGCCACTATTCAGCCTAGTCTACACCACACAGCTATGAAGTGGCTTTTTCTGGCCAGCAAATCCCTACTTTTTGGTCTTTTTCACACACACACACGCACACACGCACACACACACACACACGCGCACACACACACACGCGCACACACACACACACACACACACACACATACATACACACACACACACACACACACACACACACACACACATGCCAATTCAAAATCAAATTCACGCTGAACTACTCATAAAAGGAATTTCTCTATCTGATTACTGCCGTGTGTGGTGCAGGCATTTGGCTTGAGACAAGGAGCAAGAATAGCATCTATTCCTATCTCCAGTCTCCATATCTTCTGAAGGCAGAGGAAGCCAATCTCGCTTGCGGTCTCCTAGGCTACGAGCGGATAACTGGAGAGTTTGCAATGGCACAGCCTGCCCCGTACGTCTTTGTGTTGCAGTTTCCCAAGGGCTTGTACAGCGTCGCCGGTTCAGCTTATACGAGCATTACGTACACCCCCGATGGAAGTGTGGTGTCTAGTCCGGTTGGGGACACTCCACGACGCTTCATCTGCCAGAGTGAGTGCCGTCAATCGTGTTTGCCGCATTGTCATTGCAACTGTGCCTTGGCCCATACTGTTAAGTGATATTAACGCCGTGTGTGTGTGTGTGTGGGTGTGTGGGTGGGTGTTCGTGTGTGTATGTGTGGGCGTGGGTGTGTGTGTGTGTCCAGTTTTGGCAGTGAGCAACAAGTACAAGTGTGTGGGGGGGGGGGGGGGGTGCATGCGTGTGTATGAGTGTGTGTGCGTGTGCATGGGTGTGTGTGGGGGGGGGGGGCGTGGGTGGCTGTGCAGTGGGCGGGTGCAGTGGGTGTGTGTGTGTGGGTGTGCTCGGGTGTGTGTGTGGGTGTGCGTGGGTGGGTGTGTGTGCGTGTGTGCGTGGGTGTGTGTGCGTGGGTGTGTGTGTGTGTGTGTGTGTGCGTGGGTGGGTGTGCGTGGGTGGGTGGGTGTGCGTGGGTGTGTATGTTGTAGACATACCCGCCTGCATAGTGCGGCAACATCCCATGTTTTGCGGCAACATCCCATGTTTTGCGGCAACATCCCATGTTTTGCGGCAACATCCCATGTTTTGCGGCAACATCCCATGTTTTGGGGCAACATCCCATGTTTTGGGGCTAACGTTCAGCTCTCTCCCCCTTGCCAGCAAATTCTTTTCAAACTCTGCCAGTCGGCGGAAAGCTCGAGGCCCAGTGTTAGCAGCAGCGAACTTTGATATTTTCCTTTATGAATCAGGGAGTAGTAAAATGCCAGCACTTTACTACTACTACCTGATATGAATTGCTACACTGTAGAGAGTTTGGGCAATGTTGATTGGCATGCTCCTCCTCTCCCTGGTAGGGGATTTCCCCTCCCAATAACTTGTGAGAATGATAAAACTGGCCATCGAAATCCATCTGGTCCATTGGAGTATGCTCAGAAGGAACGGCGTAGTAGGAAGGAACGGCTTAGTATGTTACGCTTATCCCGTGCGTTTTTGGTATTTTGTGTTACATGTACATGCACGTCATAGTATTTCATTGTGTGTGTGTGTGTGTATGTGTGCGTGTGTGTGTGTGCGTGTGTGTGTGTGTGTGTGTGTGTGCATGTGCGTGCATGTGCGTGCATGTGTGCACGTATGTGTGTGTGTGAACGCGTGTGTGTTCAATTGTGTGTGTGTGTGCATGCATATGCGTGCACGTGTGTGTGTGTGTGCGTGTGCGTGTGCTCACAGAGAATTGTGGAGTAAATGGTCTTTTGGAGGAGGACCGGTGTGTATGCAACAGTGGCTGGGGAGGCTCTACATGTGATCTGCGTACTGACGAAGGTAGGAACTCTGTGTGTGTCTGTGTATGTGTGTGTGTGTGTGTGTGTGTGTGTATGTATGTCTGTGTGTGTTTGTGTATGTGTGTGTGTGTGTGTGTTTGTGTGTGTCTGTGTGTCTGTGTCTGTGTGTTTGTGTGTATGCATGTGTGTCTGTGCATGTGGCTGTGTGTGTGGCTGTGTATGAGTATAATTATGTGCTACGCTATTCTTTCATATGATCGGACAAGTACTTCCATCCCCACCACATGCACTCACTGGCCAACCTCCATCTCACCAGCAGCAGCACTCTTTTCAGTACAAGGTCAGAAAGAGGTCGACTTAAAGCCCGCAAAACACGGTTCTGATTCCGAAGTCCCTTGGCCGTACATGCAGGTTACTGCACAGCAGGACATTTTCGGACGGAAATATTTTCGGACAAAGCTGAACTTCAGCCTTTCGTACGGATTTTATTTTCGCACAGTGCTGCATGCTAAATGCACGTGTTCGCAAGGAGTGCGCATGTATACTATAGTATATATAGTGCACAGAATTTCACATGAACACAATTTAGTACAGAATTTATTTCAGACCAAAAGAGGCCATGTACGAAATTGTAGGAAAATAAATTCCGTCCGAAATTTTCCTGCTATACAGTATACTGACGAGTATTACGGTAGTTGACCTTGTGCGTGCTGTGCCCTCGTGCCCAGACTCCGTGGCCGTGTGCGAGGAAAAGTTCATCGAGGGCAAGTCGATCTGGATGTTCGGCCCCGGAGCGACCGGCGCCAGTGACGTCGAGATGAACCGCGACGACTCGCTGACCTTCTGCCGCAGCCGCGGCCTGGAGCTGTTCGACTGGAACTACTTTGACGACGAGGTGTACGGAGTGACGTCCTGCGTCAAGGCAATGCTGCAGAAGGTCGTCAAGGCAAGGCAGGCCCCATCCATCACCGTCTGGACGGAGTTCCAGCTCCTAGACAAAAGCAGTATGTACCAGTTCAATGCGGACGGCTCGGATCAGTTGATCTTCACCGCTGACAATTCAAAGCTTGCCTACCCGGCCTGCTCAGGTGAGTGACATATATCGTTGCTGTAATTGTAATTAAAATAGAAGAAATCACATGGAAACGAGTTTATATTTTTTGGCTCCGAGTAATTGTAATGCATTTATTCCCGTAGCTATGCAGTAGACGTTACTTCAGTAACGTCTGGCGCTAGCAAGGGTCCACACAGCTTTAATTTGGCGTTTTTTTGTTTGTTTGTGTCACGCCTGGCGCTATCCCGTATCTGTACCGTACCATCAAGAGAATGAGTACAGTGGAGATTGGATATAACGACCTTGGGTTTAACGACAAATCGAGTTCAGCGACACAATTCTGTTGCCCAAGTCGTTTCGCAAGTCCTTTCTGTACATTATAGATCGGGTATAACGACCTCGAAAATAACGTCAGATCGAATTTACTGACACTTTTTTGGTGCCCGAAGACCTGAAAAGCAGTGAAAATACATCGGATATAACGACTTTCCTCTTGTATCAGGCAGACTGGCATGCCTGCAACATGGTATGGTGGCTAGTGCCACGTGCCCGGACCTCCGGGGTACTCTTCCCATTGCACGTTGTAGCCGCAGTGCAGCGGTGCGGGATGACTTTACCTTGAACAATGCATGCTAGACGCATGTACATACATGTACACGTCTGTTATCCACGTCATGTACATGTATATCTACAATACATTTCTGTCATTTTGATATACATAATTGCATATTGCATACTAAATGTGAAGATCGGGTTTAGTGACAGATCGAATATAGCGACATTTTACCTTCTCCCGATGGAGTATCGTTTGCAGTGATGTAGCCGATCAGTTCATTGTGGTATGGTTGGGCTTTGTAGCCGTCATGGTCGACGTAAAACACTATAAGACCGCAACGAAGTTGGGGCCAAAGAGAAAGTTCCATCAGATCTAATAACATGCTTGATGAGCTAGGCAAAAAAGCATAGCGTAGGGCCCTGAGGTTCCAAGCTCTCTCGTTTCTGGATCGAGTAGGGTCAGTACGAGGTGAATAGCAATTTCTGGACATGAAAATAAAATAGAGGCCCACTGGCTGTGTGTTTTACATTTTTCATATCTTTTTGTATCTATTGTATGGCCTAATCCTTCATCGTTCCAAATATGTGACAATTGCTCATGCTGTGATCCCAGAGACTTTATAGCAGGATGTTTTCGACAGGCCAATTTTTTGGCCTAAATTTCAGTGTATGGAATTCTGGACATGAAAGTAAAATAGCGTCAATAGGCATCCTATACTGCACCATTTTTGTTATTTTTTCGATTGATGGACTGCAGTTGGCCTCTTCACACTTCCAGCCAACAGGTCCAAGACTATACAGCGTCTGAAGTGGAGTGCACATGGGGAAGCCAACGATTCGTCCACTACTTCTTATTTTACTCAAAATTCAAAATTCTCATGCGACATAGTACCACAAAACTCGTTGAAATGCCTCCCAAGAAAAGGCTATCAACAAGGCACCGACACGAGGAGAAACTACAACAGCCCAGCTGTCAACTACAACAAGAAAAAACTTCATCAACCTGACTGACTTGACTCTACACGCGACGAAAAATTATTTTACTCGAAATGTCCAGAAATGTACAATGTCCAGAAATAGCAACTCACCTCGTAGAATTAGAACCGGGGTACTCGGGGCGTTCTGCCATTGCGGGTTACAAAAAAACTATCTCCGTCACCAGTGTTATATTTGCCAGAATAAGATCGACTTGCAGAGAACTACATGAGCAAGAGCTCAATTTATTACATCTATACTTCAGAACGACAAGGAAATACTGTAATTTCACAAATTTTCGGTGTACTTTTATTTTCGGTACTTTCAGTGGATCTGTTTCATACCTAAAATTCCAATACACCGAACAAACACTAACACCAAGAGTACATACCCCCCCCCCCCCCCCCCCCCAGAGTGTGCAACTCCCACATACCCTGCTGTCCCGACAGAATTTCAAGTTGACGTCATTATTTATGACGCAATGCTCCTTGCACCAGTGATTTACAACATGTGTACGGGTGTCAACGCATCACACGTTTTTCTTTGCAATAATTTGTACAGGATCGATCGGCTTCGGTCAACCACAGGTTCCGGATTCGTCTGATAATCCGTGTACAGTGCGCATTGCATCATCAAAATGACGTCAACTTGAAATTCTGTCGGGACAGCACCCATAGTGGAGTTGCACACTCTGGGGGGGGGGGTTATGTACTCTTGCTAACACCAAGAGTACATAAGGCCACACTTTGTTTTTCCTATGTTTCTCGTCATCGCCCGCGTAGGTTTTCAGAATTTTCGGAAGAAAAAAAAAGGTTCATACTACGTACATGTATGTACGCTGCACATGCTGCAGCTGCTAGATGCGTCAATCAAAACCGTAAACGTTTGCACCACACAGCAGCAAAGGAGCGCTCCCCGTCCGTTCTCTGCAATGAAGGCTGCCATGACGAAGCTTTCAGTCGTTCACTGCCTGAGCCTCGCGGGTCCAAGGAATACCGTAAGTTGGACGAATTCCGTGGCAACTGGCGTCTGTGGGATGATGTCGTGGGCAGAAAATCCAAGCAACAGACGCATGGCGAGGAAAAGATGAGCAGCGTGGGGACAAGAGTTTGATAAGCGGACACAAGAACGTTGAAGTAACAAAACCAAAAATGACGAGTGGGAAAGCGTTTGTTGATGCGATAGCAGATAAATATTATGTTCTCTTCGCCATCTCGTATTCATCAACTATTAGTATTACTTTATACTCTCATTGTTGCAGTTTGCCTGATATTCGAGGGCTGATGTGATAATGTAGTGCAATCATGTATGGGACTACATGTACATGATTTTTCGATTTTGACAGCATGTTACAAGGCGAGGACGCGTAGTGCTCCTGACTACAACCATAACCCGGTTGGCAGAGTCCCGGTCTTCCGACCGGGTTATGGTTGTAGTCAGGAGCACTACGCGTCCTCGCCTTGCAACATGCTGTCAAAATCGAAAAACATGTTAAACTACCAAGCAAGGCTTCTGTATATACCATGTACATGATTGTACAATGTAGTACTGTATACATGGCAGTGTCTTGTATGAATCACGCAAATGCATATACATGTAAAGTCTATACAGTTTTCAGAAGAAATTGTTCTTGTTTTTTCCTTGGCTTTTGTTTTTTTTCCGCCCGCCCGCATACCTTTTGTTAAAATTTGCCGACGAGAAACATAGAAAAAACAAAGTGTGGCCTAACCCCAAGAGTGTGCAACTCCAGCTATGGGGTCTGCGACGGCAGAACTTCACATCACGTGATGAACCCGTGCACTCTAGTGCATGATAGATACTGGGTTGTACGCAGCCCAGCTTTGGGTACAACTCTCTTGTGGTCACTTTGCACTGTTTGCCAGCATAACCTTTTGAACCATGTCACGTGATGTGAAGTTCTGCCGTCGCAGCACAGCATAGAGGTTGTGCAGGCAGTTGCACACTCTTGGGTTATGTACTCTTGCTAACACACATAGTTCAATAGTGAACTGCTTCTCTGTACGTAAAATTTATGTTCACCGAACCAGGCCCTTTGCCCTCATACCGAAAATATTGAGCACCTAAAATTTCTGAAATTAGAGTATTAGAAATCAGGAAACCAATAACTGACATAACTGGTGTACAGGCCACCGGTCGCTGGCAGGGTACGCACTTTACTTCAAGCACTACAGAATAATGTACACATGGCAAAAAAAAAAAAGAAGAAGAAGAAGAAGAAGAAAAAAAAAAAAGCAGTTGACAACAGCGTACAGTGCCAGCATGTATTATGTGCAGTACGCACAGAGTAGCGTATTGCGCACAGATCGTGTACAGACAGCCTATGGATTCAAACATAACACCCTCCATATCATGTGTATACCCTCCATATCATGGACAAAGCCTGAACGGCTAGGGTGTGGTGTCACCAATCAACAACAGCTTCCGCCGACCCTGTTGTTGTTGCATGCCATGACTGGCTGCCACCAAAGTGTAATTATGTTGTTGTTGTTGTTGTTGTTGTTGTTGTTGTTGTTGTTGTTGTTGTTGTTGTTGTTGTTGTTGTTGTTGTTGCTGCTGTTGTTGTTGTTGTTGTTGTTGTTGTTGTTGTTGTTGTTGTTGCCGCTGGTGTAGTTGTGCTTGTAGTTTTCTAGTCATTCAGGGAAGACTAGCAAGCGGTGCCTTCTCTCACGAACAGAACTTAGAAGGGGAGAGGGGAGAAAGGGAGATGGCAAGGGGACTGAAATGAACCCAGGTACTGATGTGCACAATGCCTTCATGCTTCCGGTACGGCTGTTCGTCTCCCATGTTGCACGTATGTGCGTGTGTGTGTGTGTGTGTGTGTGTGTGTGCGTGCATGCGCGCGTGTGTGTGTGTGTTGTGCATGTGTACGTGTGTGTGTGTTTGTGCACGTGTACGTGTGTGTGTGTGTTTGTGCATGTGTACATGTGTGTGGTGTGTGTGCATGTGTGTGTGTGTGTGCATGTGCATTTGCGTGTGTGTGCATGTGTATGCATGTATGTTCTTCATACAGTGCAATACAAGGTCCAGACTACCAGCAAGGGTGTGATCGCTTCCCTCTACAAGTGGCACACAGTGGACTATGAGCGTGCCAAGCAGTCCTGCAACTACCTCGGCCTCGACTTGCTCTTTGACTGGGAACTGGCTCGCAACTTTCATGCTCTCAATGCCTCCTTCACGAAGATTCAGTTCCCGGTGCGCAACTGGGACCAGTACGTGATGAATACAAGGCAGTCGGTGGTCTTAGGCGATCACGGCAGACTGAGCTTCCGCTGGGGCAACCTGAAAGGCACATACCGCATTCTCTGTGGAAGTAAGTTCACTCCCATGAGAGGGAGATTCCATTCATTCATTCTCTAGTAGACTCTCTCTCTCTCTCACTCACTCACTCTCTCTCTCACCCTCTCTCTCTCTCTCTCTCTCTCTCTCTCTCTCTCTCTCTCTCTCTCTCTCTCTCTCTCTCTCTCTCTCTCTCTCTCTTTCTCTCTCTCCAAAGTAGACAAGGGTTTTGTCACTTTTGTGCCTCCTGATTTGGTCTGAATCGGTTTTGAACGAGGCCGAATATCAATCTGCGAATGTGTGTGTGTGTGTGTGTGTGTGTGTGTGTGTGTGTGTGTGTGTGTGTGTGCGTTTGTGTGTGCGTGTGCATGTGCGTGTGGGCTTGTATGTGTGTGCGCATACGGGTGTGCATGTGTATGTGCATGCGTGTGTGTGTGTGTGTGTGTGTGTGTGTGTGTGTGTGTGTGTGTGTGTGTGTGTGTGTGTGTGTGTGCGTGTGTGCGTGTGCATGTGCATGTGGGCTTGTATGTGTGTGTGCATGTGTATGTGCATGCGTGTGTGTTTGCATATATGTGTGTGTGTGTGTGTGTGTGTGTGTCTTAGAACTCTGCGATATGGGATCAGCGGACAAGGACGGGAACTGCATCTGCAAGCAAAACTACATAGGCCCCCGTTGCTCGACAAGCATGTACATGAGATTAACGTGAGTAGCAGCGTGGTCACTTTCATGCAGAGTACAGCTGCTGCCGATGAAATCCGATCAAGACTGCACATCTGGCGACCTCAAGTTTTATTTATCTCCTCATCTTCTTCTTCTTCATACGCTGCTGACGGAGACTCCCTCGATTTAGGCTGCGGCCTGTGGAGAATCCACAAATACAAATACAAACAACAGGTTGCACGGCTCTTAACGCATTGAGAAGTGGCACGAATACGGCTGGACGTACACATGGACAAACACGGCTGGACGTACACATGGACAAACACGGCTGGACGTACTTGGTCCGCCAAGTTAAAATTGGCGCTTATCTTCTCACTTGGTTTTTCGGTGTTCTGCCTGTGTCACACGGCATAGAACCACCGATTCACCATCCGAACATAATCATTGACCATTGCATCCGACTACACGGCGGCACAAACCATCACAGAAGTTGCGATCGGTTCGTTTGTGTCTTTATAGACGGGGAGGTATAGAAAGCTGGGAAAAACGCTTCGCGAGCTTGAATTTGAGTGCTTGCACAGCACAGCGCCTAGTGAAGGGCTATCACCAGCAAATCGCTGACGAAGAAACTGCAGCTCATGTCGACATCTCCAGTAAGTGAGACCAATCCGGCGGACACACTTTGAAGCTCACAGAAGACAGGGCAAAGGAGCTAATCAAAGAAAACACCAAGTCCTGAGGGAAACACTCGTGCAAAGCACTTTCAGGAAACTAGCCGAAGAGCCTGGTGCAGCGAACGCACAGGTACAGGTGACCAGTGGCAGTGCTACATCAAGCGGAAGCTATCACTGCGCTGCATGTACAAGCACCAGCGGCTCGCGTGGGTGCTGATCAGCAAGTACGACAAGTGCAAGAGGCGATTTGAAAAAAAGGACACTGATATGGCGTTGGCTTTTTGTCTCAAACAAAGTCGCATTGTTGCGACGAACGGAGATAACACTTACAGCCAACATGCGGGAAGTCTCACTCAGCTTCTGATCGGCAAGGTGACAGGCACGCACTGCCTTTGAGCGTGATTCGAGACGAGGAGAAGTGGAACAAGCTATAAAACGTGCAGCAGCTGTCCGGATCGAACGTTTTGAGCTCTTCCTCCAGCGACGATAGTGGCGAGGGGGATGTGTAACTTGCTTGAATTTTCGACTGAGTTGCTTACTGACATGTAAATAATAATGTATATAGTGCTTTGTAATGGTGGCTTGCTTCAAATATTCGTATTTCCTTCCTGAGAGAAGTGTGAAGATAAGCGCCAATTGTAACTGGGCGGACCAAGTACACATGGACAAACACGGCGGACCAAGTACACATGGACAAACACGGCTGGACGTACACATGGACAAACACGGCTGGACGTACACATGGACAAACACGGCTGGACGTACACATGGACAAACACGGCTGGACGTACACATGGACAAACACGGCTGGACGTACACATGGACAAACACGGCTGGACGTACACATGGACAAGTACAGTGATGTGATCGGAGCGGATACAGGGCGTCAGTGTTGCACTTTGGGTCGGATTTCACCGAGCGCAACTGTACTACTGTCGTGGACATGGAAATCCAGTCGGACCGGGGCCGGCGCCCTCAGCGCGTACAGCACACTGCGTGCAGAGCACAGTCTAATCATGTTGATCCTTTGCGACCAGCGCTAGCGAGCTGCAGCACATAAAATGCATGTCACTGCTATCGTGGTTAATATGTGTACCGCTTATCCACGGCTGCATGGCCAGCGCCCTGGGGCCGCTAGACGTGCGACCGGACTTCCATGTCCGCGACAGCGCATGATGGAAACTCACTTGCTCAGAGTGGGGGTAACAAGGATGCGGCCTACGGGGCTATAGAGCTGTTGGACGTCTTTTTGTTTGTGAGACTTATCAGCCTCGTAGCCTACTGTAGACCGGTCTTATCTTCATGTACTACAGTCTATGCACAGTTGAGCTACTAGTACCTGGGTGGGGGGGACCTGGGTGGGGGGGGGGGACCTGGGTGGGGGTCAGCCTCCTAGCCTACTGTAGACCATTCTTATTTTCCTGAACTACAGTTTATGCACAGTTAACTCACCGTGTATACTGTAAATATACAAGATTTCGGCGCTGCAAAATTTCGGCACTTCACGATTTTTGACATTTCGGCGGCGATTTATTTTCGGCGTGGGGTAGAGGGCATGGTATAGTGCGACAGATGCTGTGAAAAATTTCATCGGCGTTTTAATTTAGGCGTTTTGGGTCGGTGCCGAATATAGCCGAAATTAAATAGCTGCCGAAAATTAGTATATTTACAGTACATTGGTATCAGCAAGAGTACATAACCCCCCAGAGTGTGCAACTCCCACATACCCTGCTGTCCCGACAGAATTTCAAGTTGACGTCATTATTTATGACGCAATGCTCCTTGCACCAGTGATTTACAACATGTGTACGGGTGTCAACGCATCACACGTTTTTCTTTGCAATAATTTGTACAGGATCGATCTGCTTCGGTCAACCACAGGTTCCGGATTCGTCTGGTAATCCGTGTACAGTGCGCATTGCATCATCAAAATGACGTCAACTTGAAATTCTGTCGGGACAGCACCCATAGTGGAGTTGCACACTCTGGGGGGTTATGCACTCTTGGTATCAGCAAGAGTACATAACCCCCAAGAGTGTGCAACTCCACCTATGGCCATATGGGGTCTGCGACGGCAGAACTTCACATCACGTGATGAACCCGTACACATTAATATTTGCACTCTGTGCATGATTGACACAGGGTTGTACGCAACCCTGCTTTGGGTACAACTCTCTTGTGATCACTTTGCACTGTTTGCCAGTGTAACCTTTTGAACCATGACACGTGATGTGAAGTTTTGCCGTCTCAGCACTGCATAGAGGTTGTGCAGGCAGTTGCACACTCTTGGGGTTATGTATTCTCGATATCAGGGAGTAGTAGCAGCAAGGATACAAAACCGCCCAGAGTGTGCAACGCCTCATCCAGCTCTGCATAGGGTCTTGGTCGAGCGTAGTCGGATCTTTGCGTCATAATACCGTACACATCTGAGGGAAACCCGGGGGAGGCGCGGGGACTCTCGAATCAAAACAACGGTGCCCCGCCTCGAGACCGGCCTTGCGCTGGTGTGGAGTGTATGCATGACATCAGAAGATCCGATTCCGCTCGACCAAGACCCTATGCAGAGCTGGATCAGGCGTTGCACACTCTGGGGGGTTATGTACCCTTGATACTACTACTCCCTGATCGGTATCCTGTGCTTGGTGAGATTCTGGCCTGATCGTGCTTCAGCACAGCAACCTTCGGCACCCGACTGTACAGCACTGTATTCTGGATTAATGCACCTCTTGATGGAATGATTTTGCGCAATGTATACGTCAATATGGTACCCTGTAAAAAGACTCACAGTCTGTGGGGATTGCCCTAGTAAAATAATAAATACTACTACTACTACTATATCACCATGCAGTTTTAACCAGGGAGTCGTAAAATACCGGTATTTTACGACTCCCTGGTTATAACAGTCCTGTTGGCATTCTTTCTCAGCATGACATAACCTGTTTGCTTCTTTGCGTTTTGTCCATAGGGTTTAAAAGCAAGGCTATCACCGATGTGTGCCAGACTGCGCATGCTGTGATTGGACGGAAGAGAAACCGATCCTTGTGGATCGCCACGCATTCGTATCACATCTCCGCTCTGCTCTCTATCTTCTTCGTGTTTTCCAATGCGACCATTTGCGGTCCCTATTCGACCGCCTCCTTCACTCCAGATTTTATCATCCCAGCGCTAACCCTTCGCCGCTGGAACATCTTTTCAAAATCTTTTTTTTATGCAACTTCGCATTCTCTTTCCCTGCTGCGGGCAAGAACCACCATTATTTTCCTATATTTCGTCGGCACGTCTGTGCTTTAATACTATCTTATTGCTTTCGACCTTTTCAGAGACGTGTACAGCGTCATAGAGGCTGTATGAAGACAATAATATGATAGTATTTATATCTTAGCCATTTGACCGTAGCCATTCGCAATGACATTGAGCTTGTGTGTGTGTGTGGGGGGGGGGGGGGGGGTCATGTGTCCGTGCATGTGTGCGCACGTGCATGCATGAGTGTGTGCATGTGTGTGTTCACATGCATGTGTTCATGTGTGTGTTCACATGTGTGTGTGTTCACATGCGTGCGTTCATGTGCATTCTCACGTGTCTATTCACTGTGCATGTTCGCGTGTGTGCGCATACGCGTGCGGACATGTATGCGCACCGTCATGCACATGCACTCGTATAGCGCACTTGTTCGCTTTTCGCCGTTTTTCAGCGCTTCGCCACTGCAGCAGCCCTGCGCTTTTCCTGTTGTAAACCTTTTTCAAGTAGCAAGACCAATAATTATCCTGCCCTCGTCTTCAACTTGCGGAGAGCATAAGCTACCACGAGTGTGCAACTGTGGATACCATTTCTACGTGGTCCGGCGAAGGCGAATAGTCGAATCACCCGGTGTAGTGTTTCCATTGTACAGTCAGACCTTGCTTAACCGCACACATCCGTTTCCCACAAAAATATCCGGATAACCAAACACCGGTTATGTTGGATGCATCACGTATGCTGTAAATTGTAACCATCAATTTTCTTCCGGATGGTAAGGGATCCGGATAAAAGAGGACCGGATAAGCGAGGTCTGACTATACCCACTACCGCACATTCATCTTTAGCGGTCATGGGAGCAGTAAGTTGGCGTAACAACTTACAAGTACTAGCAAATAGCACTCCTGACAGAAACCCACTCGGGTTTTTTGTGCAAGTCATCATCAGCATTATGATCAAGGGAGATAACGTTATTCGGATTGCGCGCACGCTTGCCTTCCGGGTTGTGCGCAGTGCAAATCGTACTGGGAACACAGGATGTGAGTTGTCGCCTGAGCTGCACACTCTTGGGAACAGTTTGTTCCCAACAAACATACTGTAAAAGCAGAACTTTTCGGTGGTGTTCTATTTTCGGTGCCGACAATTTTTACCGAAAATAAAACGCACCGAAAATTTCAGTACAACCGATACTGTATACATGCAGTACAATGTACTAGTACACATACCTGGAAAACAGGTTTTACCGAAAATTTCCCTCCACCGAACCGACGATTTTGGAGAATACCGAAAAATTACACCACCGAAAATTTCTGCTTTTACAGTAATGAGTTAGGGTGCGTTTGGTTGGTACGATCTAGAACATGTACAGGATCGAACAGCTGGTGCACATGGCTGGCAGCCTCATGCCAACCAAACGGTACTCCAGAAACAGAGCACATTTTTGTGAAAAATACGCCAAGCTTGGTGTGCTCTTCAAAATGTGTATGGGTCACCATGGTCACTGTGTACGGTACGACGAGTCCAACCCAAAAGCGTTTGCACGTGATCATTTGGGACCAAAACCGCCGTTCCCGCCAGGTTTCACTGTGAAAAAGTGAAACTGCTCGGTCTGCTCCGGCCTTGAGGCCAGAGCAAGCAGAACATGTTCTGGCCGACCCAGAACAGGTGCAGTCCCAACCAAATGCGCTGTTCTGGTGAATCCTGTAGTATGTTTTGCAAAAATAGCAGGAATAAGTACTACACGAAAAACTTACATCCCAGCAGGAAAGGTGAACAAGTGGATTTAGATTGAAATTTCTGTGTGGACTTTGACTTTTATGGCATGGCGTAGTTGGTGAGTCATTTTGCATCTAATAATATATAGCCAGGAAAGCAGCGGTGTTTCAAACAGAAGGCCATGCCTTAAAAGCGCTGACATATGGCGACGTTATTGTGTACATGTATTTTGTACTTGTGCCGGTACTTATTTTTTCCAATGATATACCCAAAAACCAGGTCACTTGTCGAAGCGGTTGTGTCGAGTTTTTCTCACCGTAGTTCATTAGGGGCCATCCGGCTTTATCGATAATTATCACCGTGGACGAAAACGTTTAGTTATTACCCTCCCCCACCCACCCTTCCCTTCAACGAAAACTTTATTGAGTTGACAGCTAGAAAGCCTAGAATGGATTAATCTTTCAGCTATCAATAATTTTCAAAATGAAACTTTCCTCCACCCACCTACCCATAAACGAAACTTTTTCTCTTCGTGAAAAAGATCGATATTTACTGACGGCCCCTTTTAGTATAAGGCAAATATTTTGCCTGAGATATACTGCAAAGGACACAGTGGAGGCCGGGGAGCGTTCTTATGCGTGGTTCTAAGCTTGACAATGGAACAGTGTTCTAATGAATAGCAGTGGCCTACGAAGTAAGTTCATTAAGTACCGGTCCTATAGTTTTGGGAAAGCGCAAAAAATGAAAAAAAGACAGTGTGATGTAAGGCATAGCTTCTAGTGAAGTTCCTATTACATCTACTTGGTACAGTTATATTCCATAGAGCGTGTAGAAGAGGAGATGGTGTGTGTGTGGGGGGGGGGGGGTACATGCGTTAATGAGTGCGCTAGCTCAATACTGTGATGAGAAAGCAGGAGTGCCACAAAACCGAGAGTGCAAAACGGAACGCCCGTTCCACGCACAGCACAACAAGAATCGGCGCTGGCTTGTTGCATGGCATGCACGCGCCATGCGTTCGCATGGGTCAACACACACTCTTGCAAATGAAACCAGGGAGTCGTAAAGTTACTAAATACCATGTGGTAGTTTACGGCTCCCTGGTGAAAACAGAACAAATACTTCACGAATGCGGGCATAGCTTCATGTTAGTCCATACAACTCCGTCTCACTTGTGTTATTGCCCCATGAGCGCTGGCACACGTTCCCCTGCGATGAATTCCTGCGACTTGCCTACAGTGTACAGGGGCGTACATAGGGCGGTTCCCGGGATGCCCGGGAACCAGTAAAAAAAATTCGATATTGGTACAGAATTTTTTTGGATCCAGCCTTTTCAGGCCCAGCGCTCGCAGTGCACGTGCAAGTGCATGCATGGCGCCTGGAGTCCGCGCCTGACCATGCTGACGCGAGTGACCATGGTGACGGTCCGAGGACTGTGACTAGCCCAGGTGTGAAAGCGGTGCTGGGACACAGTGTACTGGACTGGGTTCAACAAAGTCTCTACATCGATACATCGCCGGATTCCTCGATCTCAGAGTCAAATTTCCTTTGCAGTTTGTTTTGACGAAGTTCGTCGTGTTTTGGACGATGCTTTCGCTTTGTGGAAAAGAAAAATGAAGCATCGACATCCAGAGGGCCAGCACTCTATTCAGAGCTATTTTGAGCAGCAGGCAAAGCGTGTAGCCAGTGCTAGTGGCGAAGGTCAAGAGATAGATGAGAATGGAGACGCACCTGACTTGCAAGCGAAGGCTGCATGCATCGAGCAGCGCTGAGGAAGAAATCGTCGGCGAAGCTGTAGAGCGACCGTTGTTACTTCAGTGACATGGGAGTGTGTTGGAAGGGATATGTGTTCGAAGGAATATTCTGAAAGTCGACGTCCACAGTGGAATCCAGTCCCCCGACATTTGCCGGACACGGAAAAGATTTCCGGCGTCACCGACAATCATTGTGCGCCACCGAAGGCGAAGGATTTCATTTCCTGTGCGTGTCCAGATGGATGGCAAACAGCGCCACTTTCAACTATCCTTGTTACAGGAGTTACCTTGGGTAGTCTTTTGACCGGCGTGCAATGGTGGCCTCTGCTTGCCCTGTGTGATGTTTGCTCCAGATGATTCGAAACTTAGGCAGCTTTCAAGACTGCACGCAATCGTCATGCTGAACAAAACATCCATAAAACGGGGAAAAGTTCAGTCTTTTAAAATCAAAAATGCGTAGCAATGACATCGTATAGCAGCTTGTGGATGAAAATTTCACCCAGTCTGAGGAGAATAAGCAGAAACTCCGTGGGATACAATTGTGTGGAATGTTGGTTCATCAGTTGGCATGGGAACCACTCCTGGAGGCGAGCGGCGTACGCCCCTGGTGTAGTACAGTGGAACATGTCCATGTCGACCGCTCAAAAGACCTTGCAAAGTAATGTGGTCACCGTTTACAGGCGGTCCACTCATCCAGGGTTATGGAACAGGTGCATGGTGTTTTTTTTGTGAACTCTTTTTGTGCTGGGTCACCTTATCTGAGTGGTCGCCGTGACAGGTTCCACCGTACTTGTGACAGCTGTGTGAAGAGAGTTTTTTTTTAACCAGATAACCACAAACCACGCCGACAAAACGCACAGGGATACATAGTCATAGCGTTGGCAGCCGAAGCAGTGGAGGCGGGGCAAGAGTAGCTAAAGCTAAACCAGAACTCACGCGCTCCATCTGGCAAACTCTTTGAAGACGGACGCACTGGACGTCACGCGAACATTCTCAAACTTCTTCGCCCAGCTGCCGTGATAGGCCACGTTGCCGCAGAAGACGAGCACCTCGCACCCAAGCCTAGCCTCCTCGCGAAGACGCCGCACGAAATGCTCGCCCCCAGTGCCCGCGGTCACGGCGCGACGCCGCACGCCGTCCTTCTTGCGGCGCAGGATTCGCAGCGCGCTCGTCTCGTTGCTGGTCGCGAATAGGTGGCCCTGAGCGGTGGCGTCGCCGTGTAACTGCGCCGCGTACCGTCGATTCTCCTCGCCGTCAATGTTAGGGTCCAGCCACACGATCTCCTTGGCAACCTTGACCAGGGTCAGGACGAAGCGCGGCAGGACGCGCGTCGGGTTGGCCACCACCAGCTCGGTGGCGAAGCGCGAGTTCTTGCCGGCGACCGGGTTGGCCGACTTGTTCACCCAGGCGCATCGCGACTCAATGCCGCTGGGCATGTCAGCGCCATACGCCATCTCGGTCACGAACTGGCACACGCCTGGCGACACGACCAGGCCGAACAGCTTCACTTCCGAGCCAACGGTGTGCACGGGGTTCGTGTAGTGGTAACGGTGCACGTGTGACGCTTCAATGAACGCCATCGAGTACTCCGGGTCGGGCGTCATGTACACTCCCCTGCCCACGTACCCCTCGTCCGTCGCACCGCCAAACTTCTCCTCCTGGAAACCGCTACTGAGTATGCT